TTTGTTGTAGTCTGCTGATTCAATCCTTTTTCTCGGTCCAAAGTTCTACAGGACTTGTTGGTGGTTATGTTGCATCCACACGACTCCTGAAACAGAATGCTACAGGCACCAGTGACAGTCACAACAAAATTTATTGCAATGAGAGGCAAGGCCAACCGATCGGGACTGACACTCTTGATCAGAGTGCGGTCTCGAGAGCCAGGGTACAGAGTTTTTATAGCCAACCACATCGTCTGATCATCACCTGGGGACAGAACAAAGGAATAGTTCCCAGGTTGGGGTGGAAACAGTTCAGACACGTCCTTGCCCCAATCCAATCAAACACTAAACCAGTTGATTTCCCTTAAACTTTTGTTCCCTTGATTGATAGGACAAGGCTGTTATCTCTTAATCTACAGTGTTAAAACAAAGCTATTATTTCTTAAGGCTACAGGTTAGCCCTATACTACAATTTAACCCTTACATTTCCCTTTTCTTGTCCGTGAATCAATCCCTTGATTCATCATTAGGAACTAAGGGGACATAGTTGGACCTAATCATCATAATTTTTATTTCACCAACTCACCTCTTGACATACTGTACTAACCAATTGATAACGCATGGGCCCATAGTTAACCTAAGAAGTAACAATAGCAGTGGCCCAGCTATGGTGGTGAGCAGAGATGTGAGCCAGGGGGACCAAGAGTGATACCAATTATTGCTGGCCTCCCTGGCATGTTCCCTGGCTCTAAGATTGTTCCTTACTAAGCTGAGAGTGTCTCGAATTGCTCTGGAATTGTTGGCATGGGACACTATGCACCAACCCTGCCCTTGGAGGTCCCCTAGGGTTAAAATTGGTTGCGAACCCCAAGGGCACAATGACATCATACATTCGGAGGCCCCAAGTGTGCCCGGTATCCCAGAATGAGGAGAAAGTAGATGAGCTGGTGTTGGGTTACATTTTCCTTGGGCCTCACATTGGGGGTTCGGGGTTCTAAGGAGAGTAATTAGGGGGTCAAGGTCCCGTCCTGTTAACCAGGGGGCTAGTGTCTCACAACCCCATTTGGCATAGTGGTATTGACCCTCTCCTTCACATTCATTTTTTTTCCTATCTGCATCTTAGCCAAATTTCGCTCTAGTGCCCTATTTCCACATCTGTAATTGTTCTCCCCAGTGTTCCTGAGAGCTCTTGCCCAGGTTTGCAACCCCCATCCTTCTCCTACCAGGTCACACAGGTCGAACAAGAAACAAGGCATAGTACGAGAGGCATTAGACGTTATCACCTTCCGTGTGACAATGTCTGAGTTCCCATTGGTATGGCCAAAAAGGCAAGGGCTGCAGTTCTGCACCGTCTCCCAAGCTTATTATACAAACCCAGACAATTTTTCCAGCATCAGTCTTATCTTTAAAGGATCCTCTGAGTGCCTTTTGACCTTCCATCGCTGTTCGTTCTCTGGCCCCATATCAGTCCTAGGTGTTTCCGCCTCCACGCAGTTTTTCTTAACCTGAGAGTGATGAATCCAGGTTCGGATGCCGTCTATGTTCACGGCCGTTGATGTAGTCAGGATCACAGTGTGCGGTCCTTTCCAGTGCGGCTCCAGGGTTAGCTCGTGCCTCTTGACTCAGACTAAGTATCCTTTACCATGTCAGTTTAAGATGAATCATAAGTTCAAGGTTCAAAATCTCTACATTTCAATTCTCTTAAAACTATGGTAGAGATTACTAAATGAACGGCCAGCACAAATATAAATTAAATATCATTACTGACGCAGCGATATTTCATTCTCTTAAAAATGAAACCCATAAAGGAAAATGATCCCATTCTGCACAGCGTTCTTTCCCCAGAAAGAACCGTGACTCAACAAAACCACATTTTAACAACATGAAGATCTTGTTATTATAAATTTCAAAGCAAAATGGAGGAATCTCCACATAATATTTATAACCTTCAAAGTACAATATTAATACGTGTCTGTCAGTTAGAAATAACAGCAGTTTGTTAGGCTACAGGGTTTAACATAAAACCAATTTGCAAATGTGAAAAGCAACAGTGGTCCAATATTCACCATTACACATGAATCTGTTTCTTAAAATAACACCCAAACATGCCACAATCACTATAACAATAAACTACAAGATTTCCTGAACAGAAATGGTAGGACCCCTGAATGTTTTACAGTGAATATGAGGTAAAAGGGCAAAAGGCAGAACATCAGCCCAATTTTCACCAGTCTCAAGGGACAATTTGGTTAAGGTCTCCTTTAGAGTCCAATTCATCCTTTTCCCAATGCTCGCTTGCGATACCTGTGCCGTGAAGGCTGGGCCATTGTCCAATCCTACGCTCAGAGGCAGTCCGAATCTAGGAATTAGTTCATTTAATAATTTCTTAACTGTGACCTGAGCCATTTCTGATTTAGTGGGGAATGCCTCAACCCACCCGGAGAAGGTGTCCACAAAAACAAGCTGATACTGTATTTCCCTGGTTTAATTTCAGAAAAATCTACTTCCCAAAACCGGCCTGGCTCAGTTCCTCTATCTCTTTTAGCTTCCGAAACCTTCTTATTTGCACCCTGATTTACTTGGGCGCAACTTACACATCTTTCAACCATCTCCTCGATCTCTTTTCCCAGCCCTTGCATCCTGAACTTTTTCCGCACCAATTCCGCCATCTTT